TGACTAAGGACAGGTTTTCGGCGCATGAATATAATAAATTGTCTGCTCGTAAGATTGACCCGGTTGAGGTGATTGCCAAGATCAACCCCAACGCCTACCGGCTACGCCTACCATCTCATATTCGTACTTCTGACGTCTTTAACGTCAAGCATCTCGTTCCGTTCGTTGGTGATAATTCTGACGGAGACGAGACCGGTTCGGATTCGCGGCCGAATCCTGCCCAACTGGGGGAGGATGATGGAGACGAGACCGCGATAGCGTTTTTAAATAAATATGATCGTCTTCGTATTTAGTTTGTTTCATTTATTATTATTAGTCTTATTTATTATTTGTTTCATTTATTATTATTAGTCTTATTTATTATTAGTTTTGGGTCTTTTTGGTTATTTGTTGAACTTTTAAGATTAGGGATTTCTGATGTATTTAAAGATCGTCTTCTCCCTTTGAGAAGACAGACTTGATTATTGAAAATTTAAGATTTCTCTTGAGAATTGTTCGTGTTCTTCCCAATCATACATACGCTCTACATCAGTATTTCAGTTATGCGTTTATACTTAGTTTAAATATGTTTATTAAGTTTTTTAATCATTCTTTCATAATACGTATTATGGTAATACATTTTCACATGGAAAACGTATTCGAATAATACGTTTTACAATTATAAGCATTTAAAAACGTATTCCCGGAATACGTGTGTTTGATTTGTTCCACTTTTTTTTTTTGTTTTTATTATTGTCCACTTGTTTTTTTTGATTTTTAAAGAAATAAAAAATTCTCATTAAATTGGTCCCAAATAAAGGATGGCATGGTTGTAAATTGTTTCAAATTTAAATGGCAAATACAAATACGCTTATAACATGACCTTCTTGTTCTCTCTCGATCCTTCATTTTCTCTCTGCAAGAAAAAAAAAAAACACACACACCAGTAAATGGATATTTGCCCAAACATGTCATAGGCCGATTTGCTTCTCGATTTATCTGCAATCTTGCTGAATCTGTAATCAAATTAATCGAATCGTGCTGCGGTTTTCGCGATCAAAATACGTGAGCTTCGCAAAAAAAAAAATATCATTTCTTTTATTTTTTCCCCGTTCATCTGTTTCTGGGCAGGTCGTTGTTTGATCTCTCGTGCTATATTTGGGCACGCATTATCGTTTTCATGCATTTTGGTGACGGCCCATTTTATCTTTCTTCAGATTGATCGATTGGATGAACAAGGCATATTGGTGAATTGTTACGGTTTATTTGGCTTCTGTAAAGAGATTGTCTACTTGGGTTCAAGAACTTTCTGGGTATGCGTTTCTCTTTCGAACGTGGGTTGAAATTCTCAACACTTTTCTTGCATTTTACTTTAATTTGTTTGTTTTTTTTTTCTTGATTCGTCTGTGTAAGTGGGTTTAAAATTTGACAGTTCTTCTGGATTTTTCTATTCCCCCTTTTATTCGAGGTTTGTTGAGTGAGTTGAGAATGAGAGTGTTGTGCAATTTAATCTGGATAACATGATGTACAATACAGCTTTTGCATAGTTTTTTCTTCTTTTAAATTTGTGGTTTAGTCGCGTTACTTTTTAGTTGCCCTTCTACTTTTTTCGTGATGCGTATGCTGAGGTGTGTTTCTTTTTGCTTATACGACTTTCTATCTGAGTATATTCAATCTGTGTTGTTCTTGTTATGATTTCCCTTTGGGAGGAGAGATTGAGTGCTTTTGCTTTTCTTTATACCAACTTTATGTTGATGTGATGCTACTAGTCACTAGATGAGACTTTCCTCAATGTGTGTGCTCCCCCCACAAAAAAAAAAGGCACTTTTGCTAACTTACGGGTTGCTACTTATTTGGTGAGACCGACAATTGACTGGGCATTCTCTTGCTTGATAGATACATGAAAACATGGAAGAAGAAGAAGAATACGTAATGCAAGGGTTAGACGAGATGGATGAAGTAGTCTACAGAGATGAAGGCAGCTCAGACTCTGACGTGGATGAAATTGGCTCCACGGTTTGATCATGATTTAGAACATGTTCAACTTAATTTTACGACACGTTTTTTTCATGTTTCAAGTTGCATGGTAATCTTGTTATTTCTATTCAATCGTAATGACTGCGTAGGGCATGCTTAGATACAAATATATCCGTTCAAAACAGAGTTTTTTTTTTTTTGTTAACTATGATTAATTTTGAAAAAGTTGGTATGGTTGGTTGATAGATAGTGGGATTTTGAGTTTATATAATAAAAGTAATATTTAAAATAAAATAATTAAAGTTGATTTTGATGTAAAAGTAGGAGGGAGATGATGTGAAGTGATGATTAGTTAAAATCATGTGAGTGGATGAATAATGAATTAAAATTAATGTGATGTGTAAGAATGATTGTTTGGTATTGTTTAGTTATATTGATAATATTGATGATAGTGAAATTGAGTTAAAGTTGAGTTAAATTTTGAGTACGAATTGAGTATGAATTGAAAAATTTATACACAAACACCCCCTTATACTTTCTTTCTCTCTCTCCCTCCATAATTTTTATAGGATAATGAGACTCGGGATACTACAGCAGCTCAAGCTAGAGAGGGCAGAGATATCCAAGGGATACCATGGGAAAGGCTTAGCACGACAAGGGATAAGTATAGAAAGAGTAGAATAACACACTATAGGAATTATGAAAATGTTCCTCAATCAGGGCAGGCATCAGAAAAGGTGTGTATATGTGTGTCCCCCCCTTCGTTCTCTTGGTCTTTTCTTTTGTGATCGTTTTTTTTTTGTGCTTCATTTACTTTGTTTGCATTTTTACGTGTCGTGAACAGGAATGCAAAGCCACTGTCAAGAGTGGCTCGTATTATGAATTCAGACGGAACTCAAGATCTGTGAGACCAACGATTATGCATTTTCAGGTCATACGGAATTGCAGTTCATATAATTAAGTTAACTTTACCATCCCATCTTGTCTTGTCAACTTTGATATGTCTGATTTCGAATTGAGGCAAATATGAGATATTCCCTCATGAATATGTACATTCAGCACGATAACTTTGAATTCAGTTTTTTTTTTTCTTTTTTTTTTTT